TCAGAAAGCAGAAAGCTTTGTGAAAGTTAAACTTAGATCCTAGACCTTGCCTTTCCTTTTAAAGCTCCTGTTAATAGACTAGAGAAAGCACTGTCCACAGGTGTGAAATCTCATACTTAAAAACGACCCCACCCAATCTCCTCCTCTTCAGTAAGTAATCATATTTTGCAGGCCACGCAAAAACACAGGCAAAGCCAGGCACAGGAGGCTCCTAGCATAAGCAATACTTCTTGAGCAGCCCAATTTCCCAAAACTTTCATCAGTCTTTTCTTATTCTCATTGAAAATGAAATACAGTGATTTCTTTTTGAAAGCTATACAGAATAAGGATGAGTGAGTACTAACACTGTGATCACAGATAATCTATTTAAACACTGTGATCTGTTTGTCTGTAAAAATGGCTGCTCATATCACCCCTCCATAATTCAGAGATGCTGTAAGCAAAAATAACACTTCTCTTGTCTATGGGATTATATTGTTAACTTTACACATTCTGTGAGCCTCACTGTAACGCCTTCAGGTTGTCGGAGTGGCTATTCTAATCTGTAGTTTGCAGGTGGTACTTAACAGTACTTTCTTTTCTAAATTTCTTTCTAGTCCTGATCTAATGCCAAGTTATTTCATGAAACAGAAACTAAGCTTCTTGAACTAGTTTCAATAAGTCCCCCAGAACAGTCTCCCAAGCACAATACTGAGTCATTTGGCTTCTAGGGTAAAAGAAGGAAATATTTTAAGAGTAAGGGCCATGACCCTATTTCCTTTTTCCTTTCCAATGTTGAATTCGCACAGTTGCAATGAAAACAAGCAATGGGCAAGCCAACTAAAAAAGTTAAAGGCATGAAAAATTATGTATCTTTAAAAAAAAATCAATCTCAAAAGCAATTAGATGTTTGTATTAAGTTCGTGCTGCCGCAGCAATTTGTCATACACTTTCACTTCAGCCAATTTTCTACATTTCTCCCCTAAAATAAGAGTTGAATAATTTTAGGGAAGGAAATCAGGGAGAAAAAAGAGAGAGGCAAGGCATTTGTGGGATATAGAAATGGCTTACTGCCTGCTGATGATAATGTGTATAGTATTCTCAACTGGGCTGGCCTGAGGTGTATTTCATGTTGGGTAAATTCCTTTAAAAGTCAAATGATGTATAGCAATCAAATGTTTAAAAATAATAATAATAATATTTAAAAAGGTAGTATTATGAAGCACAAAAACCTGACCCACACTGGGGAATAATTTCAATTAGTAACTGCTTACATTATTTATATAATTAATGTTTTCAATAATTTTGGTTTATGTCTATATACATAGACAAAAATATATAATAGACATCAGTATTATTTATCACATGGTATCTATGAGTATGCATATATGAAAATATATATTTATATCATGGTTTTGTCTTTCAGAGACTTTCTATTTACTCATATTATTCAGAATTTAATCCTGAAAAGAGTTTATGATGGTAAATATTAAAAATTATCATTTTTATTATAACATAATTTATAAATTATAGGAGAGCAAAAAATATTTACTCAAAGAAACAAATGCTATATAACATGCCTTGCATATAATTTTTCCTCTCAGACTTATTCCACTCCCAGGCAGAGTAAACACACAGTTAATGTCATAAAATAGAAATCAAAAGTGATTGAATTGAATAATTATATCAATCCAAAAGATGTTTGTTTTTTGTGTGATAAGCTTGCCTGATAATAATCCCTTCACAAACCTACCTATATCTCAAGGGCATTTTGAGATTAAAACTTAATTTAAAACTTGGTTAAGAAATGCCTTGAATTCCTTAGAGAAAAAGTTTAAAGTAAATGCAAAGAAATTATCATCAAAGTCAGTCAAAGCAATGATTTGCATTTTTCCCCTGAAGAACACAAACACTGAATTATTTTATTAGGTCGATTTAAAAAAAATTTTTATTACATTTGCAATGAGTTGTTTTACTATGCCTTATTTTATGAAATCATATTTTCTCCTTTGAAATAAAGTTTAAGTATTAAACCAAAACTGGCATACATAAATATTGGGTCATCGAGAAAGTCATGACCCATTTTTGCAACAAAGAACATAAAAATATGCCATGACTTTCCCAATAATCTAATACACATACATATAAAACACATACGAACACACATTTATGAGGCATCTTGAAAAAGTTCATAAAAATGGATACATGAAGATTTCAGAATTTTTGCACTAAAATAAACTCATACGTTAATTCTGATTTCCCACATACATTTTGAAGTCCCCTCAGATGTCTATTTCATCAAATTAGTTATATGTATATATTTAATATTTTGTATAGCATGTTGAGTGAAATTATATATGAGGATGTTGAAAACATTCTTGTTTTCCAAACATTGCTCTCAAGAATCAAATCTATCATTTTAAATATTATTATAATTGTAGCAATATTTTCATATCTTAAGTGGGGAACCATCTGACTTCATTATGTTGGCGCCGTGCTTGTTTCCATGACAACTCCTTCGCTTCACTGTTAGTAACCATAGATGCACAGCTGTGGATGGGCTTGAAAAATAAGTAACAGAATGCTTTCATTGATCAATTAGGAAATGGAAGCCTGGACCCTCAGACTTGTGACCAATTCTTGTCAATCTATAGTTAGCAGGATCTCTACGACGGGTTTCTGATGCCCATTCCGGCATTCTTTTGAGTGTACCCTACCATTCCCCTCTATTCTAAATCAACTGACAAAAGAAATTACATACATGTAAATATACTCCATATATACACAATATGCATAAATACCAGTATATGTAATTGGATCAAGCCATTTTAAGACTCAGAGTAGGCTGTTTTATGATTTTTCAGCAATAAATGTTGTTGCCTTTTGGTATGATAATAACAAGATGACTTGTTGGTTGTGGGTCTCGGATACAAAAATAACAGCTAAACTGGAGAAAAATAAGTATTAAAGAATGATTTTCTCTTCTTAATGTCTCAAACTGCTCTACGAGAAATTTTCATTAGCTTTGCTGAAAGTGCTTGTTGTTCAGGAATTTACCATTAATTAATTTTTTTTTTAATTTTTATAAATTTTTTTTTTAATTTGACTAGAAATGGATAGAGTGAGAGAGAGAGAGCAAAAGTGAGAAAGCAAGCCACCAGGTCTAGGACTCGAACTGTGGTCTTCTATGTGGGAGTCCAGTACCCTTAACTACCACACCACCTGCCAGCCCCACCATTAATTTTGAATAATGAAAATTCAAAGATATAAAATCTTTAATTAGTGATATCTAGAAAACTTATTTTATGGCTTCAATTTGCTGACCACTATAAGAATAAAAAATATAAAACAGTATGATAAAAAGCAATCATCTGTTAACAATTTTATCTACATATTTTTTATTCTAGAATCTAGATTTATGCTGTTCAAAGCAGCCAGTAGCCACACTGTTGATCCCTTGATATGTGAGGGACCAGCAGTTGGTGTAATGGCTATGTCGCTGGACTCCCATGTAGATGACCACAGTTCGAGTTCCAGACTGGGTAGCTTAAACTCATGCCAGGCATGTGTGCATGTGTGCCCAAGATCCCGAGAGGAGAATGGAAGAGAAGGGATTGCAGCATGGCCCTTCCCCCGGGGGGTGATTTCTCATTTTCTCTCTCTCTGTCTCTCTGGCAAGAGCATGTGCCCTGTAGAAAAAAAACCTCTCAAAAAGAGAGAGAGAGAGAGAGAGAGAGAGATGACTAGTCTCGATTAAGATTTGCTATAAGTATTAAAAAAGAAAAAATTATATAGAAGATTTCAAAGACTTCAAAGACTTTGCACCCCCTCAAAGGAAATATAAAATTATCTCAAGTTTTATACTGATTAAATGTTGAAATAATATTTCAGCATCAAATAAAATATATTATTGATGCTACCTGTTCTCTTTACTTTTATTTATTTATTTATTTATTTATTTATTTATTTGGAGAGGTTTTTCGCTATAGGGCGCGGGCGCTCGCCAGACAGAGAGAGAGAGACATAGAGACAGAAAGCAAGAAATCACTCCCCAGGGGGGATGGTTACGCCACAATCCTTTCTCCTCCATTCTCCTCTCGGGATCTTGGGCACGCACGCACACGCACCCAGTGTGAGTTTTAAGCCACTGGGTCCAGGACGCGAACCGCAGTCAACTGCGTGGGAGTCCAGCGACACAGCCATTATGCTAACTGCTGGTTCCCTCTTTACTTTTATTTTAAAGTGGTTACTAAAAATGTAAAATGTGATGTGACTTTTATTTGTTACTCACAATATATTTCTATAATTTAATGTGGTCTAGCCCACTCACATGCTAATTCTCCTGTATGAAGTATCTCAAATCCAGAATCTACCCTACATTATCAGTCATGCCCTTCCTGAATCCTTTTCAGATCTCTCCCATCAGGAAGTGAGCTCCCTTCTCTAAATTCTAATAGCATCTTTCTTCTGAGTCCACTCAATCTCTATGACTAGGATGAAAGTTATTGGCTAGTTGAGTCTATAGGTTGTCTTATGTTTGTTTGTCACCTACAGATCATCACTATGGAGGTTTTGTAAAGGGTCAGTAAACTTTTATTGGGCAAATAAGTGAATAAATTTACAGCAGTAAATTTATTCTGTTTTCTTTTGTCCAGACAAGGTTGTCTTGAGAGATCAGTTTTCCTAAGTGGATCTTTGTAAGAAAATAGATTTAATGTACAAATAATAATAATAATAATACATACCAGTGGCCAGAAGGTGGTGTGGTGGTTAGGGTGCTGGACTCCCACTTGGCCAACCCCAGTTCCAAGTTCTGGACCTGGAGGCTTGAAAATCACACCAGGAAAGTGTGTGTTTGAGCCCAGAATCCCAGCATGGCCATCTCCTTGAAGGATGATTTCTTACTTCCTCTCTCTCTCTCTCTCTCTCTTTCTCTCTTTTTCTCAAGCACACATGCCTTATGGCAAATAAACCTTAAAAAAAAAAAGAAATAAAGAAAAGAAAGGAAAGAAATCACTTACCAGTTGGCTCTCAGACACAGTAGAGGAGAGTGAGAAGAGATTTGCCTGCAAAATATAAACATCTTGCTTAGTAAAATTCATAATTTAATAATATATCTATATTTAAGTATCTGCAGTTCTTTTATTATTAAAGTAATGCATATGTATTGTAGGATTTTGAAAAATATAAGGAAAAAAAATATTATTATACTATCCAAAATTATTTTTAACCTTTTTAGAACAAGGCCTTACAATACTTTCCCTATGCATTTTTATTTATTTCATAAAACAGTGCATATAATTTTTTATATATTGCTTATTCTCATCTTAACATAAGCATTATCAAATGACCTCAAAAATTTAAGGTTACATAAAATTTTATTCTTCGTATATTTTAGATTTCACTTAAACATACCAGCACTGTTAAAATTATATTTATTTATACCAAGTATTTATATAAATAAATATAATTTTAATGTATAAATTATATTTATTAAAGTATTTATATAAATAAATATAATTTAATGTATAAATTATATTTATTTATACATTACTTATACATTCATGTCCTTCCTCGGACATTAAGGAGAAAAATAGAGAGGCATAACATTAATGGGACAAAGAAATCAATTGACAAAAGAAATTACATACATGTAAATATACTTCATATATACACACAAGTAAACATACTCCACATATACTCTATATATGTAAATATACTCCATACAAACTCCGTATATATATATTTATGTGTGTGTGTGTGTGTACACATATATATATTTATATCTTTTAAATATACATATATATATATTTATCTGTTGAAGATAACTTTATAATATTACCAACTGGACAGGAGAGAAATGCACACATGTTGGAATATTCACTTTGCAAGTTAAATAATGTGATTGTATGGATAAAAGAACTTAAAATAAAATTTTAAAAAATTTAAAAAAACAAATAACAAATTTTTACCATTATATAAAAAGGAAGCCATAATGAAGATTTTTGTGTTTTAGAAACCAAAATGACTTAGCTTATTATATTGCTGAAAGAGCAGGTTAATGCTGTTTCTTCATTATTTGTTCCTATATTTTATTCCTGTCAACTGAATTTATTTTCTATATTATATTTATCATGGCAAGGATATTTAGCATGAGATATGCCCACCTAACAATTTGTGGTTTTTTGGATAGGTTTTTGCTATAGGACACATGCGCTCCCCAGAAAGTCAGAGAGAGAAAGAAAGTGAGAAATCTCTCCCCGGTGTGTGTGTGTTGGGCCGGGAGGATGGCCACGCTGCAGTCCCTTCTCCATTCTCTTCTCGGGATCTTGAGCACGCATGCACACACACCTGGCATGAGTTTAAGCCACCAGGTCCAGGACTCAAACCGCGGTCGACTACATGGGAGTCTGGCAACATGGGAGTCCAGCGACATAGCCATTACGCCATCTGCTGGTCCCCCACCTAACACATTTTTATGTACATAATATGGCATATCACAAGACCATAATCATTTTTGCTTAACTGAAATTATGCCTGTAATTCCCAATTGCCCCTTCCTCCTAGCTTACAGAAGTAAATGTTTTGGCATATTTTTCAGAACTTAATGTCTGAACTTTGAAAATATTTTCATTTTTTCTTATTCTTGAATAACAGTTCAATTGGCCATAGAATCCTAGGATAATGATATCTCTCAGCCTCTAAAGATGCTAAGCTGCTAGTTCTGACTTCTGTTGCTTCTGTCAGTCTAAATGTCTTATCTTGGTAGATCACCTGTTTTCACATTTGATTAGCATTTAACATTTTTCTCCACATCATTCTGTGTTTTCACTATGATGGGCCTAGGAGTGGATATCTTAACTTATCCTTTCTGGGATTTGGTGAGCTGCTTCATTCTGAGTATGAATATCTTTCTCCAATTCTGAAAAAAAAAATTCATAATATCTCTTCAAAGATTGTCTTTCTCCCATCATTTCTTTTTATGAAACTTCTTTAAATATATATTGGGCCTTCTCAATCTGTCCTCCATATTTGTCTCTTTATGCTGTAATTTGATGGTCTTCACATATAAGCCTAATAGTTAACTAATTTTTCTTCAATTGAATATTAATATATTTAACACAGCAGTTGACTTTTATATTTTAGTGACTTTAAATTTTTGCTTCTAGAAATTCTGCTTCTTCTTTTTCAAATCTTGTCTTATGGTACCAATAACATCTTAAACATTTTAAATATATTTATGATTTTTTTCCAGATTTTCCTAGTTCCCAATTGCTAAGTCTTCTGTTGTTTATATTTGATGACTCTCTTTCATTTTTCTCCATCATGATATTCTTTAATCATTTTGTGATTTTTTTTTTTTTTGAGCTTACCTTCAGTCAGAGTAATTTTGGTGATTTCTGTAAATAGCCAAGACGCCCTGGTTGGGAAACTATTCCTTCAATACATTTTACCTTTCCCTTGTAGGAATTCTAGGAATTGCTCATTCTGGACCAGTTACTATTTTATTTTCCACCCAGATGTTCCTAAACCTTAAGGGTGACATATGACAGATACCCACATTTCATATTTCATGTTTCACATTTTGAGTCCCTTTAAAAACAAAAGAAAACAACAAAAAAAAAAACAACAACAACAACAAAATGAGAGCTTTTTGTTATAAGGTGCATGCACTTGCTGGAGAGATGGACAGACAGAAGGTTAGAAATCGCCCCTCAAGGGGGGTGGTCACACTGCAATCCCTTTTCCTCTATTTTCCTCTTGGGATTTTGGACACACATGCACACGCATCCAGTGTGAGTTTAAGCCTCTGGGTCTGGGACTCGAACCACGATTGATCATGTGGGAGTTCAGCGACCTAACCATTATGCCCTCTTGCTGGTCCCTAGAGTCCAATTTTTTACAGGTCTCTCTTTACCACCGGAGTGTAGGGTGGGGTTTGGTTCTCCTCCATTCTTCATGATTGGTGTGGCCCTCTAGGCTCTACAATATGCACAAAGGAGTCCTTTATAGGTCTTTATCTTGTTATATAGAGAAAGGTAGAACCTAAGCTCTTAGCTACTATTATTGACTCAGATACACTTATGTTCTGTCAGAGCGCTAGCTTCCTCTTTACACTCTGACTTGGCACTCCCACCTTATGACATACAGAAATCTTTTCTTCCTTTAGGTTGTATAATTTATATATCTTAACAGCTATGTTTTATCAAACATTTCTACATAAACAGAATCTGAGTCTCCACATCATTTCAGCCTTCAACATTGACAGGAAGTTGTCAACATATATATGCATAATCATAAATATGCTTGGTTGAAATATGATAAAGTTGTGTTCCTAAGATATGTATTTTTCTTGAAATTATAAATATTGAAGGATTTACTGTGGATGTCTGATGACTGTTTTTACTTGTAGAGGGGTAAGTGAAAAATTAAAGCTTAGTGGTTCTGTGGTATTGTCAAGTTGTAGGTGTGTGAATCACCAGATATAATGACGAGCCACCTGCTGTCCTTTCCACACTGTGTCCAACCTTATTTGCTTTCTGCTGGTTGACTCATGCCGTTCTTCACAGGGATTGTCACTGCTTGCTGCCATTCCTGGCTGCTTTATGGTGGTAGGGTGTCTTGGATAAGTGCTCCCCATCTTTAATTGCTGTGAGTCAGGTTACTGTACACTAAGATGAATGAACATTGCCCTTCACAATGCCCATCAGTGGTTTTTTTTTAGCGCACCTAGAATTTCATTTTTTGGCCTCACAATGTAATATGAGTAATAATAATTTCTTCTAAAACCTTAGCTTTTTTTCCCCTCCTGTAATGAATTTTTTAATATTGTAATAATGAGAAAATTCTCAGTAGGTCTCCTAAGTTAAATGAATTGCTTCTGTGAAATATACTGAATTAAATGCATCTTGACTACAATAAAGCATGGTTAATTTTTATCTCAATTAGTATAGAAAAAGAGAGATTATACATTTAAAGTATTTGAATAATTTACCTATATTACTGACATTTTTCAGTATATTGTGCTAAGCAATTCAAGTTGTGATAAAAATATCTAAAATCCTCATATAAATATATTATTTAAATTAAAAACAACCTAAACATCTTCATATCTAGTCTCCATAAGTCCTCCATGGGGAATGATGATATAAAAAAATGTGTTTTAGACACACCCAGATATTTTAATTTTATTCAGTACAGTGTTCTTCATGTCACTGCTATGAGAAACTTACCAGAGAGAAAGGACAAAATTTAATACAACCTCAGGGTGGAGAGGATATAGATAAAGTCAATGCAAATTTCCCTTATTGAAGAGGAATAATGGCATGTATTAATTTTTTTTAACTAAATAAGCAGGGTTTATTTTTTTAGAGGTTTTTGCTATAGGGTGCGTACACTCGCCAGAAAGAGAGAGACATAGAGACAGAAAGCGAGAAATCACCCCCCAGGGGGATGACTACGCCACAGTCCCTTCTCCTCCATTCTCCTCTCGGGATCTTGGGCACGCACGCATGTACACGCACCCAGTGTGAGTTTAAGCCACCGAGTCTGGGACTCGAACTACGTTCAGCTCCATGGGAGTTCAGCAACATAGCCATTACACTAATTGCTGGCCCCAAAATAAGCAGGTTCTTTCAATGAACTCAATCATGTTGAACCACTGAGAAGTCATCCTGTCCATACCTCATTGGTTTAATCCTGTTGATTAACTGCTGAAGCTACAGGTGTGTTATAAATACTACAGCAATTATTACCAGTATATTGTGCTAAGTAATTCAAGTTGTGATAAAAATATCTAAAATCCTCATATAAATATATTATTTAAATTAAAAACAACCTAAACATCTTCATATCTAGTCTCCATAAGTCCTCCATGGGGAATGATGATATAAAAAAATGTGTTTTAGACACACCCAGATATTTTAATTTTATTCAGTACAGTGTTCTTCATGTCACTGCTATGAGAAACTTACCAGAGAGAAAGGACAAAATTTAATACAACCTCAGGGTGGAGAGGATATAGATAAAGTCAATGCAAATTTCCCTTATTGAAGAGGAATAATGG